TCTTCACTGTATTTAATGAAATAAATTTTGTTTGTATACTAAACAACAAACGGAATACAAAAGAAATATAGGAAATGAGAGAGATTGTTTGATTACAAAAATCAAACTAATAAACAAAAATAGATTTTTATTTTGTTACAAAAACAAAATCAAAATCTGATTTAAATAAATAATAATAAAACAGAAAATAAATTAACAACTTACTTGATTAATTTCTTGAACAAACTTTTGATCAAGTCCAGTGTTTAATACTGTGTCCATAAGACAGATTCGTCATCTCCACGGTGCTTTTAGATTTGCGGACGTCTATCTCCCAGGATAAAATTATCAACAACGAATAAATACAGCACTACAATTTATTGGCACAACGAACACACTTTGTATTTACCCTTTTCCCACAAGGAAAATTATGTAGCAAAATGCAGAGAGGACAGACAAAATTTTGGACGAAATTGGAGTGAAAAACCAAGTGAAAGACTTGTCTATATGTAGGCGTAAAGGTGACTTTTCATTTTGAATTAAACAGGTAATAAACCTATTTGAACAGGTAGCAGATCTGTTTGGTTTGAATGGCATTGTTTGGGTTTAAATTCAAACATATATGAATCTGTTTGGATTCGAATTTGAATTGAGACAGATATAAACCTGTATAGATTTCTAACCAAATTTTTGGAACCAAAAATTGTGCCCAAGCCGAGCCTGCCCTACCGGATGTACGGTGGCAGTGCGCACGTGTGTGTGGTTATTTTTAGGTCCAATGGATCTAGCCCAAGTTGCCAATAACCTCCATCTCTACAAAACTTGGGTGCCCCTTGGGTACCCCAAGTTCCAATCCCATGCCTTATAAACCCATAAATTTCTTCCCACCAAACCAATGTGGGACAACCCTCTACTCAAACCTTTTAGGATTTTCTACCAAAACTCCATTTCTATGGAGCACACTTTGGCTTCAATTTCTCATTCACCCGATAATGGTTTTGAGCAACCAAATATACTACGTGAATCATAACACGGTATAAAACGCGTTACCACTTTGACCCGCGAAATTTGGCACATGGGTCCTATCTAAAAATTAGACAAAAGTTTAGAAAAAAAAAAAAAAAAATTCCAGATTTTTTTCAAAAACCATTTCTAACACACACATGGCAACGGAGGACGCTGCTGCTCCAGTGAACCTAGCTTTCCCGATTTAGGCCTCTTAATCGGCAATTATTTCTAGGTTTTTTGGTTCTGACAATAGTGATTGTGATGATGTGGAATTCCTGATGAGTAATGCTTGGGATCATGAAAAAAAATATTATGAAGATGATCGTGAAAGATTCTCTACATTTGGGTTACACATATAATAAAATACTACACATTAATCAAATGATGAAAAATCTTCATGATGCATTTCATGATATTTTTTTCATGATCCTAGTATAATTCATTCCTGATTTACGAATTCGTTTGGATCAACGACGAATTGGGTTATTCGAAGACTTGTTCTCACTCTCTTTATCTTGAAGAATTACAGAGCCAACAACATCGATTCGAAAGAGAACTCGATATCTACTAAGTGAATGCTTTTCTTTGGATTCTCTCTCAACCCATAAGACAACAATGCTTTCTTGTCATTCTCTTCTTTTGAAGATGATAAAGAAAAAGAAGACGATGAAGCTGACTTAGTCTTTTCATCAAGTTAACCCATTTCATTGGGTTATGATTGTTGTTCTGGTTTTGGTGGAACATAGAGATTCAACGTGTGGGTTCACGCAGGTTTGGGCAACTAGGTCAAAGACTACAATAAGCACTGCCAACACATTCAGGCCATTCCGGGGGAAGGGGGAATTGAAATTACATGTTAACATATGGATCTTTAACAAAATTCACAACTCAAAAATTTAATATAATCTATTGAAATTACATCTTGTTGCAATATGGAATTTGAAGCAAAATCTACAACTCAAAAATGTGCTATGAAACTGAAATTACACCTTAATAAACCAAATGATGAATAAATAAAATTAAACCATGCTCGAGCCAAACTTTTCAGTTCGTTTAATAAACGAGTTTTAACTTCAATAAAATAAAAAATTATTACAAACTAGAGGGTGTTCGTGGATCAGTTTGGTTCGATTTGGCATTAATTTTGGAACTAACTCAATCATGATCGGTTTCAAGATTTTGGACACAGAACCAAACCAATCATGCACTATAACCAACCCAATGTAACTTGGATTGATTCAATTTGGAACCACGGTTCCATTATATTAAAAATAATTGAATCAATATTTTCTTTTGATTTGTCTACCTTTGATTTTGCATCAACATTTTTCTCCATGTATTTGTCTACCTCTGATTTTACATCAACATTTTTTTCTTCTTCTAACTGCTTCAAATATTCAGATTGAAGAGACTTCACTAGAGTTGCAAACGAACCGAGTTGAATCGAGCTTTGTTGAGTTCGAGCTCGGCTCGTTTACTTATCGAGCTTGTTATTGAGCTCGAGCTCCGCTCGATAAGAAACTAGGCTAGAGCTCGGCTCGGCTCGGCTTGGCTTGGCTTGTTAACATTAATAAAACTTGAGCTCGGCTCGATAATTATTTTTTTAATATTATTTAAATAAAAAATATTATTTATATTATTTAATATATAAATAATGTATTTGTATTATTATTTATATATATATATATATTATTTAATATATAAAAAATATATTTATTATATAATTTAAATAAAGACAAACGAGCTGAGCTTATGTGAGCTCGAGCTCGGCTCGTTTAGTAAACAAGCCTAATAGTTGAGCTCGAGCTCAGCTCGTTTATTAAACGAATCGAGCAGAGCTGAACCTTTAACGAGCCGAGTTGAGCTTGTTCATGAACAGTTCAGCTCATTTGCAGCCCTAGACTTCACATGTTCACTACAACTACTATCACTAGACTTATCAACTTTCATTTCATTTGAACATTGACTTATCCTATTTAAAGAAGAACTTGAAACAGAGTCTACCATTTCATAATACATATATATACGGTTTATGAGTTCTATTATTCTTCATACTAAATCATTTATATTCTTTATAGACTAAATCATTTAACTTGAAGTAGAGTCCATTACTCTTGGACTAATAATTCAAAATTTGTTCAATTACACAAACTTCATGAAAATAGGAATTTGAAGTAACATACAAGACTGTAGAAATATAAAGACATGTCAATATAAAAAATAATACTCTGATTGGTTCGTTTAGTCAAGACCTAAATAAAAAACCAATCAAATTCTATTAGTTTGACAATTTGAAAACCCAAAACCAAATCAATGCATGAAAAAATCAAATCAAACCCACTCAAAGAGATCGGTATAGTTTGATTTTTTGGTTCTCCACTCATTTTGAACACCTCTATTACAATCACATGAGAATGTAACTTTTTGTATAAAGAAACCCAAGTAAATGTTACACCTTTCACTTTTTAATAAACAATTTCTTTATTTACAATTGTCTTATAATTTTATTAAGAAAAAATAATAAGTCAGCAATACTTTTCTAAAATAATTAGAATTTAAGGAAAAAATTATGATTTTAATATTGAAAATTTGCAAAATTTACTATAAATCTATAATTATTTTTGAAAAATATTGCTATTTTGTTATTTTTCCCCACGTGAGCAGTGGCGTAGCTAAAATTTTAGATTAGTGGGGTCATTAACAACTATCATTAGTATCATGATGTCAACATATTTTCTACATAACCCATATCAAAATTAAATTTTATTCTACAATTTTATATGTTTTCAATCATATCGACAAAATAATTCAAATTTAATAAATTACATATAAAACAAAAGCTGAGAAATTAGTACTTCAACAAAAAGAAGCAAAAATCTACATTAACATAATTGTTCAGAAGTTTTCATTTTTTAAAATTGCTATATAATAACCTTATTACTTATGCTATCAAATATATATTTTCCCCAGTATATATGGCCAAATAATCATTGAGAAGTGTTTTAGAAAGATACTTAAAAGCTGTTTTTTAATTTTTTTTATAGTTTTTTTGTAAGAGAGAGAAGCGGGTTAAAAGCTCGGAAGTGTTTAACACACTTCTCAAAATAGGTCTGATTCAATCATCACTTTGAATAAATAAAAAAAGTACCACTTTGCATTAAGCCAAAGATCTTTTCACAATTGTAGTTGTAATTGGTAGAATTGATGATCATGACAATTATAGTTGTTATTTTCACTACAATTATTTATAAATTGTCTCAAAAAATTATATTGTAATGTGAATAAGAATCATATATGTGTAATTTTAAACACTAAAAACAAATTTTTAGAGTGTATTTATAATAAAGTTAAAAAGGAATAACAATTCTTCCTTTTTTCTTTGAGTTCATTTTGTAAAATTTTAAATATTTTAGATAAATTTCATATTTACTTTTAAAAAAATTCGAAGTTGAGTGGTGTCAAGTGACACCACTCACTATACACTAGCTCCACCAGTGCATTCACTATACACTAGCTCTGCCAGTGTCTGAGAGGGTGTATTTGTAACTTCACCAGCTTGCAATGTTGGGAATGATCCGTTATCTCCTAATCAACTCATTAAAACGCACAACTATTTTTGACATCATCAATCAAGGCTATTAGAATAAGTCAAATGATTGAGAGTTTTAAATTGTGAGTTCTAGAGAAAGTTTAAATTGTGTTTTTTACTGTTTGATGTGATATTTTAATCTGTTTTTATTTTATCTATTTATTTTTTTGGGTTGGTACATCAGTGAAATTTTGATTAGAGCTCTATTATTATAGTTATGAATTACTTATAATAATTTCACATCCTTCCATGAACAAGCCTTGCCACTCCGTATCCACGTGTCAATTTCTCACTGGTGTCCTATCGAAGCAGTACGACCTAGGACACTACCTGAACATCTCTCTCAACTCAAATATGGATAATGCCACGTGGATAAAAAAAAGCTCCAAAAACCCGAACCGGATGGCTGAAGATTACGCCGACGGCGATCACACCGGAATATTCCCCACCGACGGAGTAACCCATGCCTTTTCCCGAAAACTATAAATACTTCTCATTCTCTCTCTCTGACCCCTCCCGCCATTTCGTGCCCTAGACTTCTCTCTTGCTCATCGCCTCCACTCTCTGCAACATGCTCAAAATCCCCAATTTCTCTCTCTCATCCCCTCAATCCACCCCCAAATCTGCGAGCTTTCGGTCCTTTTTACTCGAAATCGGCTTTTTTCGATGAAAATGGTGTAGGGTTTTGAATCGAAGATGGTTTTGAGTTCGTTCGACTGGTTGAGGTGATGGATGCGGTGGAGTTGGCTCTTCCGGCGGTGGTTGCGGTGTCGAAGCTCATGGGATCGGAGGGTTTTGGTGGAGCTGGTGGAGGAGCTGTCGGTGGCGGCGGTGGGGTTACAGTGATGGAAGTTGAGGCTCGCGAATCGGACCGTATTTCGATTGCTGTTGCTCCTTTGCTTTGCCGAAAAGGTGGACTTTTTACTCAAATTTTACTAATTTTTAGGGTTTACGTTGGTTACAGTCGGTTTTGCTGGTAGCGTGATAATTGGATTTTATTTTTGTTTTTGTTTTTGTTTTTGGAAATTGAGATAATAGTCATTTTAATCATGCATGTATTGCAAACAATGATTCTGAAAACATGAAATTGAGGGTTCTCTGCTAGAGTGGTTCCACTAGGTCGAAATCATGTTGAAGATCCCCACAATTGATGATAGAGATTGTGTCTAGTTGTTCCTTGAACACATAATAGAGTGAGAGGTGAGTTTTTGAATTGCGATAAACTAGGCCTCTAGCTTTACATGGCAAGTTTTACCGCGTTCTAGTAGGGACTCAGTCGTCATGTTCTCATTTTTCTAGCTGAGACTGCAGCTCTAACCAATGGCCAATTAACTACAGGGTTCTCTTCCTAGTGTTTTTCATATACTCTTTTGAACTTTAATCACAAAATCATATGAACTTCAGGGTTGTTCTGTCTAAACTTTAATTACAGAGCTTCATTTGTATATGCTTTTATATGTTGCTCTGTTACTGAAATCACTTCTGGGATTGTGATTCTGGCAGATGAGATGGGTGCTGTTAATACACAGGAATCAACTTTTTGGAACAAGATATCAGATACTGAACTTGGTAGGCATGCTTATCAGCTTTCCAGCTTTCATTGCGAAGATGCACCTGAAGAGCTTAAATTTGGGAGTAGAAATAGTTCTCCTTTGTATATGCCCAATATTGAGGGTAAACAAATACCACGCAAATCTGGGAAAGTGGCAAGAGGTAGTGGTTATTCTAAGAGATCGAGGATGGCACAAATGGAAGAAGTGTCTATAAATGAAGCCGAAGCTGATGATGTAAAAGGTATGCCTAATGAGCTTGCATCATTCTGCAAAATGCAACATTATGAAAGAGGAAATAAAATCATTGACCTTTGAAATCCATACATTCTTAAGTTTTTCCATTTTTTAAATGTTAATGCCCCTAGTAAGAGACTCTTTGGCTTGAAAGATACCATAAACAAAGCCTTTTAATATTGCCTTTCCAACACTGCCTCTACTTTTAGGCTGAATTTGGGTTCGAAGAAATCTTGAGGGGGGAATGGGAATATGTTTTTTGATCCTCATGATTCCACAATTTGGAATAGGACATGATTTGTGGTTACTTACTCTAATTACTTACTCAAGCTAGACTCACTTTTCGAAACTAAGTAGGAATCTGATCCCCATTCCCCCATTCCCATGGCAATTTCACATTCCAACTTGATCCAGAAAAGAAGGAAAAATCGGGCTCTAATAAATTTTCTGCTCTATATCTATAACACCGAACAACATCGAAACCCATATTCTCTCTATTTCTCTCTCCTACAATGGGTGTTTTGGACAATTAAATAAACTTTAATACCATTCCTATGTTTTAGAAAGTTAAACCAAACACTAGAATACATCCTGGATAATAATCTTGAATTATCCGAATAGTTGAATGCGATTAAGTTACTGGGCATTTGATTCCTAGTCATGAGATTCTCACCCACTTTAGATTCTAGCCATCCAAACATAGAGTAATTTGATGCTCTTTTATGTGAATTTTTGTTAGTTACATATATGCAAGTTGTTTGCGAAAATTGGCATCTCATGAGAATTTTCCAACTCTCGACATATTTATATCTGGATGTTCCGAGGATGACTATACTTATTTTCTTACATGGTGTTTTCCCAAATTCATTTTCACAAAGCAAAGAAATGAATCAACTGTAATATTCTTTAACATTAATTTCTTGTTCACTTCTCACCATTTCTTTTCTCATGTTTAAATTGATGAAGTTGAATTATATGGTATGCTTTATAAGTATTTTTATTATCATCTATGTATCTGATCTATGAGTCAATTGTGGTAGAGGTGGGTGACCATATGACTGATGAAAGATTTCACACAATTGTACTATATTTTAGCTTGACAAGAAGTGCTTGCACCACCAAAGGAAAGGCTAAATGCAGATGCAAATGAACTCTTGAAAAGTTTGCTGGCATTAGGGATAAATACTCTCTCAGTGGAAGCAGCAAGATCTTCCTCCACAAAAAAAGAAAAGAAAAGAATAGTGTTTAATTTTCTTGTTTCATGGTCAAAGTTGAGCTATCCGACATGTTCACATATCTTGCCCCTTGAAATGAACCTGGTTGTAAAGTTGTAACTGCTAAATTCCAAATGGTTTATACTGCTTTTGTGAGTAATTGCAACCTGATTTTCTACACTATTATATTCCCAGTTGGTTTGTAGTAAATTTTAACGGTGAAAACATTGGTTGGTGACAAAGGAAAGTTGGAGCTAGTGCTGGTGCAATTTGGAAAAGAAGGAAATGACAATTGAATGCAATCAACACCGACAAAATTTTCCAACTGAAAACTTATACCTCTGTTCCAATCAATCACCACTTTCACCCTCCATTACATATATATTAAAGCAACACAACTTCAGTAAGAATAAAGATTTCTAATGTTAATTTGATATGTAAAACCTAAGTTCTGGAATATGGATATCTAATTTAGAAGAAAGTTAATATTACCTAATTAGCAGATCCGGGATTTTCGGTGATGTCAATAAAATGTGGACAGGTTCCATTTTTTGCACTGATGCATATCTATACATTATTATATTGTAATTGTTGATAAATTAGAAGGTGTTAAGACAAATTTGGATGATTCATGAGATATCCTTGTTTAACACGCACTTGTCTTTGTGTCATAAGGTCATTTATGCATCCGTTGTATTTGATAAATTATGCTCTAACTTTGGGTGTTTTACACTTTTTGACGATTTCCCTAAACCCTGTGTGATTCGCAATTTTTTTTGTTCGTTATTTTTGATAAAGTTGCTAACTTGATGAGCAAGCTTATGGAAGTATGCTGCTCTGAGGTTATGTATTCCTCATCCACTTCACATATCTGGACATCTGAAATCAACGAATATTTTGAAGCACTGATTTGCATACATAATGTGAATGATCTATGAAGTTTCAAGTTTGGAGTCCTGTTACCAGAATAAGTTTGAGTAAATATTATTATATTAATTGTTTTCACTTGCCCCAAAAAAAAAAAAAAAATATTAGTAGTTTGTTTTTAGCTGTCTGAAATACAAAGATGACAAATCTCTCATTTTTACATATTTTTAGAGAAAACTCAAACGGCTAAGCAAAAGAACGGGCTAAATGGCAAGCGGGGTGACAAAAGAAGTGGTAAAGTTTCCACGAAGACAAAATATGATTATTTCTCTCTGAAGGCTGGCATGGTGAGCTTCAATTCAGCAACTGGAGGGAACAACTTTTTTGGTATGATGCTATGACATGTAATTACTTGTTTTCAAGTAGTCTTTATTGTCATTCTGTGGGATGGTTTGCTTTGTATCTGTTCTGCTGTGGTATTGGTGGAATTAACTGCCATGTCACTATGCATATAAGTGACTAGAAAGCTGGAGCTGTGAACATGAACTGGCTAAACCGCAATTTGCTTTAATATCTAAGTTGATGGTGTGTCCTCATTATGATATAGGAAGCATATTTTTTTGCACATTTCCTCATGTTAGTTATTATTACTTTTTAAAAATTATTTATTTGCCTTCAGAACAAATTTGCATAATTCTTTGGGTGGAAAATATCCTATGGTTAACAATGCAGTTGTTAGTTTTGCTATATTCTTGTTTGCTCATCCATGTCCTCAACCATTTTATTGCTTAATTAATGACAGCAGCTATGATCTGTGCACACGGACACAAATGTCTAGTGTCTGGCATGGGAACTGTAAAAAATAAGACACGGAGACACGGCTGTACATATGTCGATTTATATATATTGAAGTTATTATTTTGTTTTATATTATCCCTTACATAATTTTTATTTGAGCTTTGAATGTTAGTTTTTGAATTTTTTGAATTTTGCTTGTTATTTTTGAATGAGGCTATATTTGTGAAGTGATTACTGACAAATATAAGAAGCATAATAGTTAAAGACTTTTCGTGTTGTGGGCTCCTTGGCAGAATGCGCTAAAAGTTTAATTTGTGTGCTTTTGCTTAAAGTTTAATTCGTTACTTTGTTTTGAACGGGCTAGACCTTCAAGATAGAAATAGTGCTTTTAAGATGACTTTTTGCTTTCAGGATTAACTTAGTTTGATATACATAAATCATCTATCCTGTTGAATATCTGTAATACAGTATCTTTTACTGGCTGCATATATAAGTTATGATTCATTAACGTTTGCACCATAAAATGGAAGGGAAATGTAAGTTATGAGGGGTAAGGGAAGGAAGGAGAAGGAAGGGGAGGAGGGGAGGGGAGGGGAGGTATTCCTACTCTTGTTTGTTTCTAAAATAATTAAACAAGGGAACGGAGGTTCCTTTCTTTCCACTTGTTTAATTAGATAGTCATAAAGGGTAAGACAGCCTATAAATTGAATAGGCAATGTTTAAATAATAAGTGATTGATATATTAGTATTAGAAAATAGTTTAATAACAAATATTTCACTTTTTTTTGTAAATGATCAAAATTTCGTTTGGTGGAAACATAAGAAAATGACAAAAGAATTTGAAAATGTATTCAAATGTTTGGAAACAAAAACTAGAATCTATATAAATGTTAATACGTTATTAATAGTTAAATAATTCAATATGTTGAGATCTATGTATATTTTTAAAATTTTTTAAACATTTTGTCAATTACCAAACGCGTTTTTAGTTTATGTTTTTCTAAAAATAAACAAAAAATAAACATAAACCAATTTATAAAATTTTTGTAAATATAAACTGAAAACGTAAACGTTACCAAACACACCCTAAATAATTCAATATGTTGAGATCTATGAATATTACCAGCTCATAAACAAAAGGTTTAAAGGCGTTATTGGGGAAGAGGGTTTGCTATGGTAAGAAAAAACATAAAAAAAAGGCAAAATTCTAGTAGTAGTAGGGATGGAAAAAAAAGTATCAATGACAATCTTTATATAAAAAAAAAGAACTTTGCAGCAACAAATAAAGAGAATAAATGACTTGATTATAAAAAAGAACTTTGCAGCAACAAATAAAGAGAATAAATGACTTGATCATGATTGTTTTATTTTCTTCTCACTTATCTCTTTTCTTCTTCTTTCTATTTTCTCAAATTCTCTAATAAATTTTAAAAAACTTCTATTATGAAATCTTTTCTTTTGACAAAAAGAGGCAAATAGAAATATGACCATTGCTGGATATTCCTAGCAGGTGTCAAACAACTCATTGTTTTGGTTATCTTTTCGAGTGGTTGTATGGTGGGGGTGATGTTGGTGGCGGCAGCGCGGTGGCGGGTAGTGGTGGTGACGACGATGATGATGGTAGAGTGGCGTTGGTTGTGGAAGGGATGACGGTGATGACGGTGGTGATAGTGGTTGTAGTGGAGTGACCGTGTGTTTGGTGGTACAGTGTTCAACCATCTTTCTGGTTCCATGGCCATCTGGACCATGTTGCTGCTTCTAATATTCTCATGCAATGACCTGGGAGGAAATTTTTATTTATTTTTGTGTGCTGGTTATTATTAGCTGCTTAGCTTGTTTCTTTAGAAGATTTTCAATTAAATCATCATATTTATTTGCACATGCATAATTTCATATTGACCTATAAACACTTGATTTCAGGAATAAATGGTTTGAAACCAGATACTTCTGATGTCACGAAGCATCTGGATGAGCTATCAGTGAATGAGCTCCTTGATGGCAGTTACAAGTGTCCTAGTTTTGCCAAAGACAAAGGAAAGAAAGCAGCAAATTTGAATGAAAATATTCTACATTCAGTTAGAAAGACTTGCTCTATTCTTCGGCAATGCAAGCCTCTACAGAGCCAGAATTCTGCTGAGATTGATAATAGTTACAACCAGAAAGTTTCCACATGCCCATTGAGCTCTGACACTTCTGTGGCAACTAGAAATGACAGTGATAAAGGAGATACCTGCACTACTGATCTGTCTTCACATGACAAGGTTAGTTTGAAGGGAGTATCTCAATTGTTTGCCAGTTAGACTCGGAGGAGCCCCTACAGATGTTATACTGGTGGAAGAATAATAATTAATATTCTTTTTAGAATCTAAGATGCTGGCACAAATCACTTTTGTCAGTTTGAAGTTTCAATTTGAAATTACGATGCAAGTACCGTGCACAAAGTTAAATGTTGTTTGCAAATTGTACTACTATTTCTATTTAGTTAACATTGCTAAAATCACTTGACCAGATCAACTGATTGCATCAGTAGTTTGTTAGGTTTACAGGCTGAACTTGAATTACTTCTTTTAAATACCTGAAATATGGAAAGCTCTGCTTTATATTCAACATTCCTTAAGCCATGCTGTGGGGTTATTTTAAATTTTATGAGATTACAGTCCTAATCTTCTTTGGAACCTATTTATTGAATACTTACATTTATCCTTCACGCTTTATTTTGTTCTTAAATGTTCAGGATTCTTTTAGCAAGCCCAAAATCCCTGCCGATGTGCTAGATTTCGTGTTGTGTCAACCTAAAGATATTTTGGAGCGCCTCGCACTTCCTCCACCCAAGGATTTGGATTCTCTGCTCCTGGACGTGGCCAAGCCTACTGTAGTTTCAAAAAATAATTCTGATTCACGTGGCAAGCAAATATCTCACCGAGATAGCTTGCCACCTTTTTCTTGGTCACATAATTCTGGCGGGCATTACAAATCTAGCGCTGATGCAATTAAATCATCTGCGGGTAAGACCACATGCCAGAGTAGATGGATAAAAATTGGAAACACTAATACTTCTCTGAAAGGCAGATCTGATTTTCTTGCGGACTTGGAGTCACTTACTTATGATCACAGCCTGGTTCCTTTGGAAGGTCTGAAAAATGACCCTGTGGAAAATAAAATTGCCCCATTTGCATCTGCTAACTTTCCTTGGTTTGAATTGGGTTCATCATCGTCTGCAACGTGCTCAATAGCTTCGAAGCTTCCTCCAGGTGAGATCTTCTTGAGATGGCTAGTTTCTTTGAATTTTTAACATCATTATGAAAATTAAATTTATCAATAAATACTTAGGGTGTGTTTGGTTTGTGTTTGTAGAGTAGTTTTTGAGATAAAAGTACGAAAACTTATTTGGTTTGCCTTTTTTCAGAAATGGTTTTGGAAAATTGTTTTGGAGAGAGAGTTTTAAAAAAAGTAATTGATTTGATGTGTATGAGAGAGAGAGTGATTTTGGAAAGTAGGTAACCAAACAAAATTTTGAGATTTTTTTTGGAAAAATTTGTTTGGTTTGATTACTCTTGAAAATTTGTTTGTAGAGAATTTTTCTCAAAAATTTTTCAGAAAAACAAACCAAACAAGGCCTTAAAGTTTCTGCTTTCCATCTGAATCTAATGTGCACATTCTTACATATTCTGCTTTCCATCTGAAGAAGGCATTAAAGTGGACACTGTTTTTCTCTTACATGTGCAGAATCCGATAGCAGTCTGAAGTATGAAGAAGATGGTAAGATTTTCAGTTCCTTTCATAGAATTATCTTTATTTTTGAACTTACAACCTGATAAACCTGTTTCCTGTAAATTATTTCATATCCACATAGTTTTCACTTTTTTATTTTTTTGTCTTTTATAAATAAACTTGTATCAAGAAACAAGTTAACTGTGTTGTTATGCCTGTGGACACTTCTGTGTGTACTCGTTATGGAAACACAAATGTGAATAAAACAGAAAAGGTAAAAGTTGGATTTTGCTTTTATTTATTCGAATCATAAGTGATGCCTACTTGAGAGAGATAACATGCTTCCAAAAAAGTAAACTAAGCCTGCTGGGTTGTATGACTATTGGGTGTGCTTATGAGGCATTGTTTTATCAATAATTGGAATAGCCAATCTTGTAATAATAGGTGAGCTAGGCATCATGATAACAACTCAAATTTTCTAGGTCCATCACTTGCATTGTAATATGATCACATTTTATGCAAATTAATTTGCTGAGGATGGAAAAAAAATGGATTATGTCCCATTCATTATTTTATCCTTCTTGGTGACAGCTGGAAATTCTCCGAGATTGTTAGCTGCTGCTCAAACACTATGTGACATTGCAGCTCATTTTTTGAAGCAAGACGTACATGGAATGGTAAGGTGGTCAAAGAAACCTTCAGAAAAGACCATGAAAGCTTGCAAGTCAAAATCGAACGACAAGTCTGGAGAAATATTTGCAGCACCAAAATCAGTAAATATATCTGACAACCACGTAAAAAATGCTAATGAGGTTTCGCCCTTAAAGAAGCCTAGGCTTTTGATGAACGAGAAGAGTAATAAAGATCTTGGTCATAATACCCTGAAAAAAGGCCCGATAAATTGGTCTATACCCAGATCAAATAGATCATCTCCTAGCACATCATTAAGAGATTCGTTTGCAGAAACAAAAACTTATAATGGCAATGTTGTAAAACAATCGATCATGATGCCACCACCATCCTCAAGAGTCTTGGACAAGGGTTGCAACAGTCGGCAGAAGATGAGGAAGTTGGTACCGATGGAGCGGAACAGAGAAGGGGGTAAGCTGGATTGACACGATTGTATGAGGTACAGGTACATTGCTTCTTTCCTCTGACATTTGTTGTTTATTTCATTTAAAACACTGTTGGTTATTGCCAAAACTGGTAGGTTTGTATATATTGCACTGCAAGTAGGGATTGTTGTAAGGTTTCTCCTCTCAAGTGGGGAATAGAGTTCAATGTTGTAACATTAAATTGTAGTACAGGTGTGGAAGTGCACCGTTGACTTTGCCTTGTGTAGAGCATTGGATGAGGCAATAGAAAGCTCTCTCTCTCTCTCTCTCTCTCTCGCCTAATGGTCACATGCACATATTTGGCACAAATGTTGTATTATGTATCAAATGTAGAACCAATGCTGTTATAGTATTAGCTTAGACCTTTTCTGGAGAATCTTAAACATCCATCTTTGTTAGACATTCTTTGTGACTGAGGATTAGGGCTGCAAAGGAACCATATTGAGCCTAGTAGTAGATTGTTCAAATTTTACTTGAAAATATAGTGAGATTTGAAATGTGTTCAAGTTTAACTTGTTTACAAAAACTAGTCAATTTTAAATGAGTTTTCAAGGAGCTGAATACTAGTCTAGCTTGAGTTGTTTGGTTTTTTATAATGCATATATGCTATCTAAGCTTGACTTGCTTATACAACGAGTTGATCTTGAATGAGCTTTAATGAGCCAAGCTCAACTGCGAGTTGAGCTCGTGTAGCTTGGTTCGTTTTGCAGCTTTACTAATGTAACTGGTAGCTGGTGCTGCGCAGGAAAGTACCCATGAGTTTTTAATGCATGAATTCTAAACATTCGTCTGTCACTTGGTCTCTCTGTTTTGGATGAAACTATCCAAAGTAGTAATGCTACACTTGTTATTTGTATAGAATTTTCGTACATAATGACGTGAACATAAACTCAAATTAGGGTGTGGTGTGGATCAAGAGGTCACTTTTAAATTAACCTCAATGTTCATATTGAAATCAGTTCATTTCAGCTTTCAGATTTTTGTTTCTAGCTGGGCCGCCAAGCTCATTGAAATTTATTATCACTTGCAAATTGGATGTCCCATTTATTATCACTTGCAAATTGGTTAGTCGATAGTTCTGTTTAAATTCAGGCTTACTTAGCTTTTAAAAAGCACCAAAATAACGTATAACACATGTTTATTACACTTCATGTGTTCAACTCATATAAGTATATCTTCAAGGCACCAAAAGATCTCTGGCGATGTTCCAGCGACTCTTTTTACACTTCTAACGTGTAGATCTACGCTCTTAGAGTATAAATCTGTAATTTTAGAGTGTAGATATGGAATTTTTTTATGTCTGAAGAGAGTTTCACCTCCCGTATTTGGCATAGATTTTTGGATTTTTACACTCACAATGGTTCCCTCTTCTATCAAACCTTCTCTGGTACCATTGTGGGTGTATCTCTTTCTCAACTATAGCTTTTGGCGGTGTTTGAAGTACGGCGGCAGTAACGGGGATGATGTTAATGGGGACAGAGCGCTTTCAAGCAGATCTTGGTTTGATTCAGATCTTGTTTTTGAGATCACATCTTTGAGAAGATCAGTGGTTTTCACTGGATTGATTTTTTTTGGCAAATTTGTTGCTGTTTTTTCTTCTTTTGTTGTATGGTTTGTATGGCCCTTTGAGATCTTGTTCTGTATGTTATTGTTTTTTTAATATAAATGTTTTTCTTGTTCTTAAAAAATTATATAAAGTTATATAATTATATTCATCTTTGGGGCATAACCACATTGTACAACTGGTAGGGATGTGGCTCAGATGAAAGAGCACAACTTTAGGTTATGTTTGGATTTTATTCTGTAAAGGAAAGTGAAATTAATAATAATATATAAAACCATTTTTTACGGGTAACCAAAAAAAAAAAAAATAAATAAATAAATTTGACAAATACTTATGTAACCTTTTTTGTTTTTGTTTTGTCATACATCGAAGGTGGTAACGTAGGAATGGGGAGTTTTGCAATAGTTTGAACTAAACTAGCTCGGGATAGTTTTAACTTATTTCTCTTAATTTTCTTTTCATGTTTTTTTATTTTTCTTTTCCTTTCTTACCATTAATTCAATATCCAAACATGACATAAAGTTTTAAGTTATAATAGCTAAAATTGGGTAAACTACACTCACCTTAAAGTTTGAAAAAATAACAATTAGTCTTATATTTTTGATATAATTACACTATTTTCTCTTAAAGTTTTAATTTACATATAAGTTAAGTTTTTTTTTTTCTTGAAATTTAATTCACATAACAATAGATCTTTTTTATTAATAGTTCGTTAATCATACGATTGAAAAAAATGTGATACAATCATTTAAAAATAAAATAAAAAATATATATTTGTATTTATTTATATTTACGTTTACTCACTGTAATTATTATGCCAGTCGCTTAAGGCTTACCCATTAATATTTATTTTATTTTTAAGATCTCTTTATTTCAAGGTGGAATTCTCATTTGGGTTCAACTTTTCCTTGACAAACTTGTTTTACCTCGATACATCTCAGCAATAGACACATGAATGGTATACACCTTCAGAAATAAGAAATGAAAAAACGAAACCCCCCACCCATAAAATTAAGAAAACATTTGATCCAGTAACAAAACAATAGCCATTGCAAAGCTAGGATTAAATCCTGGCCGTACGATCAAAAGAAAAACCTCTAACCCAAAAGAAACTCCACCGTTCATCGCTTCCTTTCTCTTGATCTCTGCTACCACCCTCCTCGACTCATCTAACACCCGGCATGATCTATGTGCATATGATCCTTCAATCACGTACGCACACTTCTTATTGGATGGCCCACAATGCACTTGAGCAATCACATTGAAATTAGATTGTAAGATGTTAATGTGTTTCCTGACACAGCAGATTGGCTTCTTTTGTGAATAGCCACCAACTTCGCCTTCAAAGACAAGCCAGTTATCTACGAGTCTCAGCTTCTGTTAATCAAAGATAATTACATTAAAATTATGTTAAAGTTCAAAACAATATTATATAAGTTATGCTACATGTACAAAAAAAGTATACAGGAAAATTAATGTACTACTCAAATTTATTCTGGGTGTGGTCTTAAATCCGGGCCATACATTGATTTTTCTGTGCACAATTTTTGTGATTTTTTTTTCTTCATGAAGATCATTGTGCCCTCTATGTAGCCAAAAAAATTATACAAAATGAAATTTGTTGAGTAGGTTTAAACTTGTGCCAAATTCAGAATGAAGTTAGTATCGAAATTTCATATTTTAGAAATTTTTCTAGGACCCAAAAAATTGCTCAGAATTTAAAATATATCGGGTCTAGATTTGAACTTGAGGGCTGAATTCAAAATGAATCAAGCAAGTAGATTTCACATTTAGAATTGTTGTTAGTTTGATTGCCATTGTTTATTATTGCTGTTGTTATTATAAAGAAACAATTAGCGTAACAGAAATGCTATATACTCAGAAAAGTACTCAGTTGCTTGATAAAAATTTGAAATCTACTGTATAGATTTAATTATTTTTTTTCTGCATATATAGCATTTTTGTTAACCTAAAGAAGAAGAGATTGAGAGATTAGATAACTAATGAAGGTACCTTGCGACGACAGAGGGAGAGGAGAGGGGTGCCATCGGCGTCCATGAGAATGAGTTCATCAGGGCGTCCAGTGGAGTAATTGTCAACCCTAAACACCAGTCCACCATTAGAGTCTATCACTGTAAACCCATTGCAACTGAATACTAGTGATTTTCTCCACACTGTCAGTGATGTCCACGCGCCGTCATCGTGGTAATCTTCTTCATGTTCTTCATGGTGGTGGTGGTGGTGGTGGTTTTCATCGACTGTTTTTGCATTTGATTTCAAGAATAGAATCATCTTCTCTCTCTCTCTCTCTCTCTCTACAATCTTTCTCTACAAATGGTTTTAGGGAAAGGATATTTGTAGTGAAAGAGGGTGACAATTTGACAAAGAGACCTGTATGACGTGTGGCTAAGAATTTTGGTAATGTAGTGTATCATATAAATTCTAAAACACGACAATCTTACCTAAGTAGAGACATGCCTCATCTTCTAGAGACATTTTGATGATTTTTATAATAATAATAATAATAATATTAGAAATACATAATGAAATACAAATATTTTATAAGAGCAACTCTAACCACACTCTTAACTTTTCACTAGCTAAAGTACAAAAAAAAGTACACTTTTTATTTTATCTAATTACTTTAGTTATTGTGTTCTCTGACCACACTCTTTATTTTAACTAATCATTTAAACTAACTTAATTAATTTTTAAAATAAAAAAATACTAATTGTTGATATTTTACTAATATAAATTTGCAAAAATAATAAATTTGCCCATACAAACATACAAAACATGTAGAATGATGAGAAAAAAAGTACAAAATATAAAATAAATTATTCCGTAATTTATCAAACAGAATTGAAAAAACATATAAAATTGCTAGACACAAACACACACACACACACACACACACACACACATATATATATATATAAAATATAAAATCCCAAATCCAAGACATAAATATACAAAAATCTAAAATATATACATATATAATTATTTGGAGAGCCTCTAGGGCTCTTCAATTGTAGCCACCAAAAAAATAAGATGGTAAAATAGCTAGTCCAATAGCTAGCCCATTAGAGCTCAAAATTAGACTTACATTGACCAAAATGCCTAACAAATCTTGTTTAACTATCTCCTTAGAGATGCTCTAAGGAATTTAGTCCTCTGTGTACTTAAACTTATTGTTAAAATAAAACACACTTAAAATAATATTTTTATTGTTAGGAAAATAATTTGGATCTTATCTTCAAATTTTTAACCGCACAGCCAACCATTTGGTTTGCAATTTTGCTGTTACATAGTTGAATCACATTACTTGTCTTAAAAATCTATGCAAGTTCAATTTATACAATCTAGAGATCATTTCACTTAAATTCAATTCATAGTCTAAAATTGCCTCTAATAAATTTGATATGGTATCACAACTATCTGGAATGGTCACTACAACAATTCACACTTTTGGCGACTAGAACTTTAGTAGCTTAAAAAAAAAAAAATTTGGCGACTAAAATTTTAATAGTAAAAAAAAAACCAAAAAAACATTTTTAGCGACTAAATATTTAGTAACCAAAACAAAAAAAATCATACTTTAGGCGACAAAAACTTTAGTAGCTAAACAAAAAATAGATTTTAGACGACCAAAACTTTTAGTAACTAAAAAAAAAAAAAAATAAAAGACACTGGTGGCCGTTGGCCACCACTAGTAGCCGACCAGCCACACCAATGGCTGACAACCATGAGCCATAGCCGACAGCCTATGGTGGTGGTTGACAAGTGACCAAAAGTTCCAGACACGAAATACCAAGCTTTTGGTTCAAAACAAAGCACAAAATGGACAAGCTTTAAAGGCTCAAAGATAGGGCATCCCACCGAGGACTTCGGGCACTCAAAGCGAACAAGTGTAATCGTAATCATTGAGTGCACAAGCGAGGACGTCTAAGTCTTGAGGTCGGTCAAAAATAGGGTGTCTACACCTGTATCTTTATGAAGATTCTATCTTGGAACGTGAGAGGCTTGGGAAGGGCTAATCGAAGGCGTATGGGTAAAGGAATTTCTGAGGTTGAAAATTGTGGATATGGCTTTGTTGCAAGAAACAAAAAGATCAAATATTGATGAAAGTGTTGTTAGGTCAGGGTGGCCTTTTGATTCGGTAGAGTACATAGAAGTGGGAGCGGAGGGAAGTACATGTGGGATTTTGTGCATCTGGAATCCTATGATTTTCTCACTACATGAGTGCTGTTGTTCAAGAAATTTCATCATTTTTGCAGGTATTATGTATTCTTCTATTAATTGTGTTATTGGTAACATATATGCTCCTAATGAAGATTTGAGTAAGAGAAGGTTATGGGGTACTTTATCCAATTTGAAGTCGATATTTCCTAATCCTTGGTGCTTAGGGGGAGATTTCAATAAAGTAAAAAATATTAGTGAAAGAAAAAGGGTGTTTAAAAAGGGATAGAGAAATGGGTGAGTTTTGTAACAACCAGGAAATTTAAATTGTCCCTTAAATTTTATATTAGTATTATGATTATATGTGATAATATATTATTAAAAAATAAATAAATATAACCGTGGTAATAATAATAATAATAATAATAATAAATAAATAAATATAATAATAACAAATCTAAGTAAGAGTCTAGGTGTGTATTTGCTGGACCACTAAACCTTAGCCATATGGGCAGTATAGGATCAAAGACGATGTTTAGATCATTAGTGCACTGTTAAGTGTATATGGAAAGAAGAAAAGGTAATAGAAAGGAAAAGGAGAATGAAGGAACAGCTGTGGAATGGTTGCAAAAATAAGAAGCAAATAGTAAGCATCAATATTAAGGTGAGTTATATTATATTTTGAGTTATTATAATATATTTTACATATGTTTTGAGTTATCATAATTTATTTTACATAAATGGTATTTTAATTATGTTATTTATTTTATGAACCTTATTTTATATAATAAGGAAAACTCATGAATATAACTGTTTATTAAAATGTATTTTGAGTAATTATTTTATAAGTACTACGACGGAAGTCCCATATTTTGGGGGACTTAAATAACCATTGGTCCTCTGATTTCTAGCGTGGAGCAAAGTGTTATACGGAGCTAAGTCTTACACTGTTGTGAGAACTACCTCTATACGAGTCACCTTTTGAGTCCATGCATCCGTTCTGTTATGTACCGTGATTATGGTTATTTATTTACATAATCTCAGTTTTGCTACTTAAATGATTATTTGTTCAGACTAAATGATCGTAAATATTTTAGTTACATAACTATCTATGGTTACTTTGTGTCTATTATACTCTTGGTATAATATTTCTCACTCTGTCATGTGCTTCTAGCTGTTTACCAATTTTCAGGAAGTAATGCAATTCAGAAATAGCTTTTGGAAAGTCTTAGATGCGGGACTGCGAAATAGACACGCACAACATTTTTATGATATTTTTATATATAAATATCGGCCTTTTTAGTCAATAAATTTTGTAATAAAAATAGAAGTTCTGGTGATTATTTTGGTACTCTCACTTAAATGTTATTTCCGTTCGCATTTATTAATTTGTTTAAGAATTGACCGAAAGTAACTTTATTTACTGACCATCACGATACTTAACCCTTAAATACAGGGGAGTGGGTCGTGATATATGGAATGTATTACATATTTATCTCACATTTTTTTCTTTATTTATTTTTTAAATGTAAAACTAGATTTCATGTTAATTTACTAATATAAATTTACTTTTCTCTCTTCATGTAGACGTAGGTAGATTGACAGAGAGATTGCATGTTACTTTCAAAATTTATTACATTTTCTTGAAAAACTAGTACAAGTTAGAGGCTACTTTTCAAAATGTGCTAAGACTAGCATGTCATTGATTTCAATTTAGATCAAACCCCCTACACATGTGATGCCACGTGTCCTATGACTCATGACAATACATATTTTGTAATTGAATCCTGTAAGAAGAAATTTAATTTGAAAGGTATATACTTGGCTGTAAGGAGTGCCCCAATTAAGTTTTCTTTCTACTTTGGATTGAATTTCAAACACGTCTCTCACTCTCTCTCTCTCTGGAATAAAGAATATAAAAATGTTAAAAATTCTAAATTTTCTATTAAGGCCTCGTTTGGGAACCTTCTATTTTAGCTAAAAAGTCAAAAAGTTACTAAATTAAGCCAAAAAGCCAACAACTCATACCAAAAAGTCAAAGATTCTCTTTTCTCTCTACTTTTTGCACATCTTTTCGTAAAAATTCAAAAAGTCATCCCAAACATACTAGTTTTTTTTAACTCATATTTTAGTCAAATAGCTAAAAAGTTACTAAATTAGCATGTTCCCAAACGGGGCCTAAGTGGCGGTTTGGCAATAGATTTTTTTGTTGGTTTTTTTGAGTTGAAACTTTTTTAGGTTAGGACTAAAAAGTTTGTTTGGTTTGATTTTTTTGACTTTCGTAAGAAAAAAAAAAAGAAAATGATTATGATTTGACTGTGATATTTTATTTTATTGATTTATTTAGTTTATTTTGTCTTGTGTTTTTTTAACCCAACTAAGTTAGCCAAACGAAGGCGATTTATTTAGTTTATTTTGTCTTGTGTTTTTTTAACCCAACTAAGTTAGCCAAACGAAGGCTAAATACTCATGTTTTGGTAGAAAACTTTGTATTCTTAATATTATTAAAATCAATTTGATAAACCAATTGATCCCAATTATGTGTGGAATGATTAAGATTGTGAGGTTTTTTTTTTCCTTTGTTTCTTTTTTTTTTTTTCCCGGGTCGGCTAACATCATGTGCTTAGCCTGTTGTAAAAATTCTAAACCTATCCATAGATAATGTCACCAACTCGACTCTCTATGTAGAAGAAAATTGAGCAAATTTAGGTAGGTTAAAGATTTTTTTTTCTTGAAAATTTCTCTTTTTAAGTTCTTAATACATTTTTTAAGTATACATGCTATGAAAATTTTGAAACTTGATATTCACCAAATACGATTGTATGATTAAAATGTATTGAAATAGAGGACAGGTGACAAATTTTAAAGACAAAAATTCCCATTCATAAAATGATTGAATCATGTGGTTTGTGAGTTGCTTTGCATGTATTTTGTAGAAATTCATTTTGGTTCTTACAAGTTTCAGTTAAAAAAAAAAAAAAAAAAACCTCAAAACTCAATTGTATTACTAGAATAGAAAAGGAAAATACATACTTCAAGCCACTGAAATGGGGAATGGAGAAGACATTTGAAGCCAACCATGGTTAACCCTTTTATATTTTCTTGGTCAAGAAACAAAAGTGTGTTCCACAGAGAACGTCTCCTCACTTTGGTTGCTTTTGAGAAATGCTTTGTGCTTGCTGTTTGACAGA